TTCAAAGATGAGAGCCGTTTTATAATAAACAAAATATAGTGTTTCAATTTTAGAGTTGGCCGTCATGAGTTTCTTTGGAAACAAATCAAGGGAATCCAAATTAAATAGAAAACAAATCAAGTGAATCCAAATTAATTAGGAAACAAATCAAGGGAATCCAAAATAATGAGGAGACAAATCAAGAGAATCCGAAATTAATAAGGAAATCAATGGTTTCCAAACATTGACGATCTTGGACGCATTGCCCCTTGGAACCCCGCTAGGGGGGCTGCCCCTAGAGTCCGCCAAAGGGGTGTTCCCCCTTTGGAAACCGCGGATCGAGGGGTGCTTCCACTGGACTACCAACTTGTCGTCGAAACGACTTCTAATTCGATCTTATAAATCTGTGCATTCCACACATACCCAAACATATATTAGAGTACAAATTATAAAGCTCATCAGTTTGTAGCACTAGAATCACTAACATTATTGTCTTAGACTTGAATCCCCATCACATTTTGGGTTCACATTAGAAATTTCTTAATAACGCTCTTCTTGGAATGGTAAGCTAAGAAGTTTAACATTTTCTTTTTGTATTGTTTCATTTTCTACTTTTGGATTAATAATAGCTATTGAAAAAAAAAAAAAAAAAAAAAAAAAAGTTTATTCGTCTTATATTGGTTGGGTGTAAAATTCTTCTGTTTCTTGTTAACTTTGTGATTTATTTTACTAGTTCTTTACTAGTTTTTAATATAATTATGCAGTGCAAAGAAAAAAAAAATTATTATTAGTCTTAAAATTCATTTTTTTTTTCAAATTTCAGCTATTAATGGGTAAAAGCATCTAAAATTGAACAAGTTCATATAAGTTTTTGGTGTTATATCATTCCAAGATCAACAAGTTGAAAGTTAAAATACTCAACATAAATGCACAACACCATACTGGCTTTCATTTTGATATAACTTGTTTATGAAACACATACCCAAACATATATTAGAGTACAAATTATAAAGCTCATCACTTTGTAGCACTAGAATCACTAACATTATTGTCTTAGACTTGAATCCCCATCACATTTTGGGTTCACATTAGAAATTTCTTAATAACGCTCTTCTTGGAATGGTAAGCTAAGAAGTTTAACATTTTCTTTTTGTATTGTTTCATTTTCTACTTTTGGATTAATAATAGCTATTGAAAAAAAAAAAAAAAAAAAAAAAAAAAAAAAAAAAAAAAAAAAAAGTTTATTAGTCTTATATTGGTTGGGTGTAAAATTCTTCTGTTTCTTGTTAACTTTGTGATTTATTTTACTAGTTCTTTACTAGTTTTTAATATAATTATGCAGTGCAAAGAAAAAAAAATTATTATTAGTCTTAAAATTCATTTTTTTCAAATTTCAGCTATTAATGGGTAAAAGCATCTAAAATTGAACAAGTTCATATAAGTTTTTGGTGTTATATCATTCCAAGATCAACAAGTTGAAAGTTAAAATGCTCAACATAAATGCACAACACCATACTGGCTTTCATTTTGATATAACTTGTTTATGAAACTCATTCATTTCAAAATTATATCCTTATATTGTTTTATACAGGTTTATCTATTTAACAATGCTTGCATACTAACGTGAAAAACCTTAATAATATATATATATATATATATATATATATATATATATATATATATATATATATATATATATATATATATAATCTCTCAATTAGCACTTGTAAATTTACGAATCTGGTAAAAAAAAATACAATGAATGAAAAAGGTCCCAGTACGCTAGGAAGTTTTTTCATAAGCCTTTTCAAAATAAAAATAAAAAGTCTGAAAATACCTTTATTGTAAATTAATGTTCTTAGTAACATCAAATCAATCAAAACTTATTATCTTAGTTGTCAAAAATTAAATATCATACTCTATAGAAAAAACATTAATCATAAAATTCATTACGGTTTTTAGAAATAGGAAAGAACATTGTACAAGTATTGATCCTCATTGGTCATGAACAGTATGTGGGTCCGAAACTTTATCTATGTGTATATATAGCCTCCCATTTCCAACTTGATATGCATCCTCTCTCTCTCACTTCAAAAACTAGTAATATTAATTTTGAAGACAAAATGAAGCCTTCTTTTATGTTCAATGTCTTTCTTCTCTCCATTATCCTTTATCAAGCTCAAGGTATGTTCAGTTGGACAAAATATATACAAATAACATACACCTATACATACATACATTAATAGTGTATGTGTATGTGTCTTTCTTTAGAGATAGGATGTCATCAAATGTTTAACTATGTAATAATCATATTATCTTACAAACTCCTGTGCATATTTTCCCATAGCATCATCCACTAATTGTAAACATAGGTCATGCCTTAAACAATGTCGTCCGTATATATGTGAGTCTTAAATGACTATTAAGATGTCATTTGAGAATGGTCTTCTATCAATCTATGTATGCATGGTTTACTCGTTTTTTAGGGTTTAGACGAATTTGAAAACCCGTTAACTAAAAATAGGTTTATATATGGAAAAAATAAAAAAATAATAATTATTCCACTTCGGTAAGATTCGTATATCAGTCCCAATAAAACACCATTTTGTATATAAAAAGGTGAAATAATAATATTGTTGTGCTCAAAATATTCAAAAGAAACAAAATTCATAAAATAAATAAAACGAGCAAAAAATTTTAAGGCTGCTAAACTTACATCATTACTTACAGCAACTTCTTGATGAACATATATTTATATTATACGTAAGTGATATATAAGTTTATATATATGCCTTCAAAACAAGTCAGCAGAAGACGATGATCTAACATGGTTCATTGTTTTTTTTATCTGATTATATGTTTTATGTCGTTTTTTTAAGGTATAAGGTTCAAAACATCTTTAATATCATCTAGCAACCATCAAGAACTCATCACTAAGGTTGGTCTATCTCATGTGATTTTCTGCTAAAAAGTAGACGTCTCTTCAAACTTTATTTCTGATTTGGTTTTCCTCATCACAGACTACATTAAGCATTCAAGACGACGAATCAGCCAGGGCTAGCAACCTTTCACCAGGTATCATCATAAAGAAGCAAAGATTAAGTTCTCATCGCCACTGGTTACCAAAGATTCATGAAGATTACTATGGCCCCAGACATCACATCCCTAGACACCATTAAAAACCCTAGATATTACGTTGTTTACTTTTCGAATCTTAGTTAGAACATAGATGAGACTACACCAGTGATCAGACTATTAGTCTTTATCATCTCTCGAGGGTTGAGTGTTAGACCTGTTAAAAAGGACAGACGAAAATTTGTGTAAGACTGAGTGAAATTTTATCTAAGGGTTACCAGCTATAATATTTAATTAAAGTTATATTTTATCTATTTAAGAGCTTCTATTGCAAAAAAAAAATTCATCCTCGTTTTTTAAAAGCGGATTAAATGTATGATTCGTGTGTGTTTACAATATCTTATTTATTATTATTTTTTTTTCGTTTATTTATTTGCAGGAATAGATAGAAAACTTATAGCAAAAATATTATCTTCCGATCCTCACTCCACCAATAGCAAGGTTAGCTTAATTTCCAGAAAATAATGAAAATTAGAGAAATAATATATTTATTTATATTTAAGTCCATAGATTTATTTCTCGTGTACAGAATTACAAGCCGCAATCGGATTTAAAATTTACTCATAGACGACTTGGAAAAGATGAGAATTTTTCAACCTCAGTTCCAGTAAGCTCAAAACACGGAAAGACGGAAATCGTATCAGAACCATATCCAGACGTTGTAGACATAACAGGGATGGATTATTCTCCAGCCAAGAGAAAACCACCTATACACAATTGAATCCAACACATTAATTGATATTAGTTAAAACGTACAGTGGTCTAAGATTCATATACTCCAACACTATACATGATCATTACATGTTTAAACCACTCCATAATTGTTTTAGGTTCAATATAGTTGATATATATCGTCTTTGATCAATAATATATTTTGAGATGCTTTTACTTGATATATTCGACGACTTTTTAACATGTATGATTATAGTGCGTAGTAAAATGAATCACAATCACTACATGAAAAGCAATGGCGACAAATGCCGCCGCTAAAAGTGATGATTGTCGCCGTTAAAAGTCACGATTGTCGCCACTAAAGGATTTTGCAGCGACATATCGCCGCCAAAAGGTTGCCGTTGTTTCCTCGTTGCAAATGCTCCATATGTCACCGCTAATGCTTCTATCGACGCAACTAAGATGTCGCAATTATTGCTACCCGTCGCCGCAAATGTGATGTCGGGCTAATACATGCCCGTTGCCGTTAACTGTATATTTTTTTGTATTTAATATTAATATTATAAAAACCAATATAAGACATAAAAACTACTACCAGACTTGATTCCAAAGAAAAATAGTTCGGAACAATAACCACGTTTAAAAATTATATATGATTTTAAATATTAATCCAAACATCAATACTCATCCAAACAAAACATTTCATAAATCCTAAAAAAGAAGCTACTCGTCTTCATTACACCCCTCGTTTCCTTCGTTTTCATTTCATGGCGGTAACGATCGAAACCAGTCTTCCAGTGTCACATTACAGGTTGTGTCTTTGAATATTGTTTGCAGCATTTCCAACTATAAAGAAAACATAGTATATTACCAACATAACATAATAACATTGTATTTTTCAAAAATTACCAAACTACAAAATACCAACATCCAAACATATATCATTATACCATTCAACTTTCCAAATACACTTAAAACATACATCATACACAATATTCCATATACATTAAAGCATTATACTTTTTTTTTTGTTTTTCTATTATAACATTGTATTTTCCGAAAATTACCAAATTACAAAATACCAACATATCAAATTATAATCAAACTAAATCATAAACAATAGTGCATATACATCATAACAATGTACTTTTTTTCATTTTTTCCGTTAGACCATTGTACTATACTACTCTAACAATTACCAAACTACAAAATATCAATATATCAAATTATAACAAAACTACATATTACACAATATTTCATATACATTATACTAGTGTATTTTTTTTCAATTATAGCACTCTACTATATATTAAACCAACAATTATCAACATATCATTATACCATACTACTTTATAAATTAACTTCATGATGATTACTAGGGATCTAAGAATATGTGGTCCATTATGCTTCCGATGGATATATCCATTTGAAAGATACATTAAGGTAATAAAACGTCCTGTCTGGAACAAAAACAAACTGGAAGGAGGCATTGTTGAAGTGGATGTTGTAAAGGAGACAAATGAGTTCTTAAGTGAATACCACAAAACATACATACTGTTGATACTCCACAGAATAAGCATAACACAATTGATAATGTTGACGGAGCAGCACTATCAGTTGCATATCTTTTTGAAGTGTGTCCATAACTCTTCATCAAAACAGATTTCTTTGGACAACAAAATATGCCTAAAGTTCATCCGTATATCGAGTAATGCTGAAAACAAGTGATAACAATCGATTCGACTCACAATTCCTAATAATTTATTCAATAACAAAATGGATTTTATAGCCATTACAAATAACAGAAAGAACGAGAAAGACTCAAAACATAACAAAATTATATCTTCCTTAAATCTTGTTCGACACGAAGAAGAAGAAGGGGACAACCTGGTACTTCGGATTACTAAGTGACACCGACTCTTGGCTTTGGGCCTTATTTCAAACATAACCTAAAAACGTGGGCTAACGCAAACATTAAGATTGGCCTAATAAATTTTGTCCCTTAAACAAGTAAGCGTTGAGCTTCTTATTTAACATCGCTCACTCCAATGTCTTCTGTGATGAATTCAAATGCAGCTAAAGTCAAAGGCATGGTCATCATGTCTGTTATCTTCTCTTTTGTGCCACAAAACTTCAGTTATATAATATCTTTGTTCACCAATTCTCTGATATAGTGAAAACAGATATCTATATGCTTTGTTCTTCTATGCATTATTAGATTCTTTGATAGCTTTATGGTTGAACAGTTGTCACATAACCTCCCCAGTTCCAACGTTTCTTCAAGTTCTTCAAGGAGACTTCCGCCATACACAATGACATGTACATGTTGTAGCTGCAATATATTTTTCTTCTGTTGATGATAAAGTAACGACTTCTTGTTTTCTAGAACTCCATCATATTTCAGCTCCACTGAACAAACATACATACCCAGAGGTGCTTTTCCGTCCTCTAGATCGCGTGCATAATTGTCATCAGTAAACACTTTTAATTTCTAACTTTGATCATTCCTATAGTGTATCCCATAGTTCATAGTCCCCTTTATATACATTATAACTCGTTTTATCACAACCACGTGTTCTTTCTTGGCTTTACCATAAATTTTGCTAACAAGTTGACTACATACATCAAATTTGGGCATTTCACAGTCAAATACCTGAGACTACCTATAAGACTCATATATTTGGTGATGTCAACATCCTTCCCTGCTGCTAGTTTCATAAGTTTGGTATATGTGGTAACTGGATTCCTCACACCATTTGCTTCACTTATTTAGAATCTTTTTAAGACTTCTTTTGCATATTGTGACTGACACAAAGTGATACCTTCTGAGTTCTAGTTCAATTTTACTCCTAGAAAGTACTTCATTTGCCCTAAATCTATCAACTCAAATTCCTATTGCATGGAATTTATGAATGATTTGCACAATGCATGATCATTTACAGCATAGATTAAATCATCAACAAATAAGCTAACGAAGATGATTTTATCCTTTTCCTTCTTCACAAAACATTGTATGATCATATTGTTTTTCTTGAAACCTTCCTGCAAAAAATAACCTCCAATTCGATAAAACCAAGCTCGAGGCACTTGTTTTAATCCATGCAGTGCACGATTTAGCTTGTACAAATGATGAACCCCTTTGGTTAAGTGACATGTACCACCTCCTTGAGCTCACCATTCAAGAAGGTGCTTTTGACATCTAGTTGGTACACTATCCACCTTCTTTGAATCTTCATTGCTATTAGGCATCTGATTGTGTCCTAACGGTCTACTGGGGCAAACATTTCATTGTAATCTATTCCTTCCCACTAGGCATATCCCTTTACTACTAATCTTGCCTTATATTTTTCAATCTTTCCAAGTTGATTAATTTTAGTCTTGAATACCCATTTTACCACTATAGGCTTCGTTCCAGGTGGAGGATCAACCAATTACCAGGTATTGTTTCTTTCTATGGCTGTCATTTTAGCATTCATTGCTTGTATCCACTTGTCTACTTTACATGATTCTTTGAATGTTAGTGGATCATCCACCGCACTATACATTGCAAATCCATCTTCATCTTCATTGAAAACGTCTTCTGTCATGTAATAGTCTTTTTTCCATGCAGGTGCTCGTCGAGGGCGACCAGGTGGTATGTTTTGATTTTGTGAAGTTTTGGAGGCAAAAACAATTGGACTATTACAATTTTCACGTGAATTTTCAGTTTGAGATCTACCTTGAGCTGAGGAGCCCGCTCCTTCTTTAGAGTTTGGGTTTGGTTTTGCCAAAATTTGTGGACCCTATATATTTTCATCTTCTTGTGAATTTTCCTGAACTTGTTCATCATCCTCTTGTGGATTTTCCTAAACTCTTTCATCATCCTCTACAATCAGCTCTTGTGTTTCCTGGTTCTGTTTAGACCAATTCTAGACTGCATCTTCATCAAAGATTACGTCCCTTTTGATCACAACTTTCTTGCTAGATGGGTTATATAATCGATAAGCTTTTGACTCTTGGCTAACATCAAGAAACACGAACTTGTGACTTCTTAGATCCAGTTTCGTTCGTAGTTAACAAGGTATATGAACATGTCCTATACATCCAAACACCCTAAAATTCTAAACACTTGGTTTTGACCCAGTCCACAGTTGTTCACATACATTTTCATCAAGACTTCTGCTCATACACCTATTTAACAAATGACATGCCCACCTTGCTGCTTCTGACCAAACATAACTGGGCATAGATTTTTCAGTTGGGAGACATCTAACCATATTCATTAGAGTCTGGTTCCTACGTTATGTAACCCTATTTTGTTGTAGGGTGTAATAAGTTGTAAGTTGTCTCTTAATGCCCCTAGCTTTACAATATTCGTTGAATGCGGTCGAAGTGAAATCTCCTCCCCGTCACTTCTCAAACACTTGATGTTCAATTTGGTATCTACATCCACAAATCTTTTAAATCTATTAAATAGTTCAAAACTTTCATTTTCCTATGACAGAAAATAAACCCAACACATTCTAGTATAATCATCGATGAATACTAGTATGTACGTTTTTCCACTACTTGAGGCAATGGTAATGGGCCCACACATGTCTGTGTGTATCAAATGTTGTTCCTCTGTAGCATTTTAGTTGCTTTTCTTGGCTATTGTCTCCCTTTGTTATTTCCTAATGGCATATAGGTCTCGCATACACCATGTTTCTCAGCTATAGTTACCAGTCTCACCACCATTCCTTTGTACAACATGGTTCTATTGACCTTATGATTGACGTGTCCAAACCTCTTGCATAGTTCAGTGCTGGAATCACCACATACTTGTAAACACTCTAGTTGTTGAGGTTGAGATAAGACATAGACCGGCAACATCCTATTCTTTGTCGTGTTATATAAAATGATCAAACCCTTTTCAGGATGGAAGACCCTACAAACATTTCCTTGAATGACAAAAGTTAAGGATTTTTCTTAAAGTTGTCCAACACTTAAAAGGTTGTTGTTAGAGATGACACATATTACACATTTTTAATCACTAGTACCATGCCATTCACATTGATACGAATATCACCATTTCCTTGAACTTTGAGCTTATGATTATTCCCTAGTCTGACTTTGTGTTGGTATATTTCGTCTATGTAGATGAACCATTCTTTGATGCCCGTCATGTGATTTAAGCAAGTTGAGTCCAGAAACCAAAATGCCTTCCTATCATGCTTATCTTGCTTCACGGTCCTCATTATCCTTTTGGTTTCTCTTTCGTATCCTTCAATGTCAACCAATGGTATCAGAAGAATTTCTTCATTCTCTTCATATTATCTATAATTTACTTGTTTGCCCTCATTTGGACATTCATATTGAAAGTGTCCAAATTGATGACATCTATGCAATTCAATCTGAGACTTGTCAAATTGTGGCTTTTTCTCGCCTTGTGATCTCCCTCTACCATGTCCTCTTCCCCTATGTAAATTCCCTCTAGCTAGAACTCTACCTCGTCCAACACTCTGATCACTTTGGATCATTAGAACTTGGTCATCATTCACTTTCCTTCTGAT